CATAGACAAGTAGTTGCACTGATGCTGTCCAAACAAGCATCATAGGAAATAATAGCATGGGAATCTCAATAACACAGGATCATCAAAGCATCCTTTAAAGCAAAGAATGACGGCGTGATAAATAACGTCATTCAATGCTAAGCACCTACCAACGACTACAATGAGGACGTTAAAAATCGATTCAACGTGAGGCTCCAATGAATCGTCGATAGATGCTCATCAAACATATTGATTATTCTGTTGCGAGAGCGAAATAGCAAGGTTTGCATGGACAACACTGCATATGGAGTCATCATCGGACAATATGGACTGGGAATTATGAACCAAAATGGTAAGAGATTTTCCCACTTGTGTGTCTACAATCAACCGTTCATCGGCGGCACAGTATTCACAAATAAACGCATACGCAGCAACATCGATTACACTGGATTAGACTACCTAGAACCAAATCAACAATTTCTGCACAAACAAAAAGTTCAGAAGGACGATGGAGGACGTAAAAATGAACAGAGGAGCTGATGTCGTCTAAGATCACCACTTGTTGGTCTCGGAACGAAAGCAAAACTGAAGAACTTCTGTACGAGCGGGTTAACAACAACACAAACCTCAAATATGGCTTTTTTTCTGGATACAAAAAGTTCAACTAATTAAAAATAATACTCAACGGAGAGGAAACAACTTCGGAAAAAACAGTTACAAACGGATCAAGGAGGCAATCACTTTTATTTTTGTTGGGAGATTCTGGGCAAGAAGAAGTACTATCACAAGGAACGGATTTCTGTTGATATTCTTGAACGAATTCATGAAGGGAGTAACAAGAAGTCAGCAATCAACATCAACTGAAAAAGAAAGTAAGCATCTGGAAGATCTAGCAATGACAGCAAAAAAGGCTGAAGGAGAAGTGAACTTCCGAAAATTATGCGACACAACAAAGAAGCAAGGAATGCAAAGTGGTCAGCAACTCAGAAGAACAGCAAAACAGGTGTGTAGGCATCTGTTGAATCGACCAGCTCCATTGAACACACTCAACATCGCAGCATCATCCACGGACCTACCAATCCATGTTGGTCTACCAACATTCTCATAAATCAATATGACCATCAGAAAAATCAAGGTAACAAAGCAGACAACAATCAGCAGAGGCAGTGAGAGCAGATGGGTCAGCAACTGCTGAAAAAACAGGCACCAACCGAGTGAAAAGAAGGAAAGCTGATAAGTTCGTCACTCATTATGCTTGAGGCTATTACGAATTTACCTTAGTCGATAAACGCGAACGAGACTTTTACCAGCTTCCAGGAAGGCTACCTTGAATACCCAAAATCGAAATAGAAGGCTTTGTAAGCGTAGAAAGTATATTCTACAAACACCCAGCAATCACAGTACAATCAAGCATACAACTCTCGTTTATTTATACAACATAAGAACGTCCTTGAGACAGTTAAGAAAATAGCATACTGAAATACACAGCAGCCAATGACAGCCATGGATTTTCCTGGTGGGAATTGAAATCTCAAGGTCATCTGATCAGCCCATGCTGGCAAAACGTGAAAACCAAAATACGGCATTATCAAGCGAATTTTGGGGATGTAACATCCCCAACACTCCTCCCCTTTTAATAGCGTGTTCTCCTGGGGTCGACTTGCATCTTGACTATTGTTCGCCGCTGTCTGAGGGGATACCTTCGGGAACGAAGAACAGCTTGCTGCTGAGTTTCTTCTCGTGGCGGGGCTCTCGGTAGGTTGAAGGTATCAAGCAAGATGTCAAGGGGAAGGCTTTCTGCTCTTGATGGGCGATCTGGGGCTAGCCGTCTGCGTATCTGATTCCGATGACGTGACCATTTATCACCTCCTACCTCTACTTCGTACATAACTCGACCAACCCTTCTGACCACTCTCGCTTCTACCCAAGGACCATGGTTCGTTCTGTAGTCGCGGGCAAACACAGGGTATCCCACCTCGTAAGCTGATTGTCTTTGCTGCTTTGTCTCTACTGATGAGGGTGCATTGGTCGGATGCATCAGGCTGTGGATCGTTTTCAATCTTCTTCCCATCAGGATTTCAGCTGGGGACTTTTGCTCCGGTAACAATTCATTTGGTGTTGTCCGATAGACGTACAAGAAATTTTGTAACGCTTCGGCTGGTGTCCCCTCCCCTTTTGACTTAAGCAGTGCTCTTTTAAACGTATCCACAAACCTTTCCGCCTGCCCATTCGATTTCGGGTGGTATGGTGGCGAGCGTAAGTGTTTAATGGCTAGCCGTTGACAGAAATTCTGGAATTGGGAAGAGGTGAATTGAGAGCCATTGTCGGATACGATCACATCTGGTATGCCATTTCGAGAGAAAATTTCAGTTAGGAGCTGTATAGTCTTAGTTGTAGTGGGCGGCGTAACGGGGCTGATTTCCGGCCATTTAGAAAAGGCGTCGACGACAATTAAATACATAGTTCCATTTATTGGCCAGCGAAGTCGACATGTATCCTGGACCAAGGATGCTCAGGTTTGGGCCATGAAACCGGCGGAATTTCGGCATTCATCTTTGCCGCCTGCTGACACCTCATGCATTTTTCAACCAACGCTGTGACATGTTGATCCATGTGAGGCCAGTATGCATAACTCCTGGCTATGGACTTCATTCGTTTAATCCCAGGATGACCAAGATGGAACTGTCTCAGCACTTTTGCACGAAGGGATGCTGGCACCACTACTCTTTCACCAAACATCAGACAATCGTTGACGATGCATAGTGACTCCCGCCGCTGATACAGTTGCTTCATGTCACCTTCAAACTTTTTCGACGGCCAACCGTTAGTGACATATTTCATCGTCATCTTGATGATGGGGTCGTTTCTAGAAGCATTTTGTATGTCTGTTGCAGACACCGGTAATGCGCGAACTGCGGTTGTCAGATAACATTCTGCGTGGTCTTCTACTGACAGAGATGCGATCACCATGTTTTCCTCAGCCGCCACTTGATCATTAATGAGTCGTGACAAAGCGTCTGCTTGACCGAATTGTAGAGTACGTCGATATTGGATTTCGAAATCATACCCCAAAAGTACCAAGGCCCATCGCTGAAGACGATTTGCAGAATGGGCTGGAATGCCAGACTTTGAACCAGATATTGCTAACAGAGTCTTGTGATCTATGAGGAGCGTGAATCTCCGACCGTACAAAAACTTATGGAAACGGCGAACAGCAAACACAAGGGCAAGAGCTTCTTTCTCTATCTGGCTATACTTCTTTTCTGCTGGGGTCAGTGTACGGGATGCATGCATAACGGCTTTTTCCGACGCGTCTGGAAGTTGATGTGAAATAACAGCACCTAGGCCATATGCTGAAGCGTCTGCTGCTACAATGATCGGCATGGATGAATCGTAGTGTGTTAATAACAATTCCGAGCTAATTATAGACTTGAGTTTACCAAAAGCCGCGTCACACTCTTTAGTCCAGTTCCATGTGCTATGCTTCTACAGTAGACAATTCAATGGAGCGCGAATATCATGCATCGAGGGAACAAAAGCTGAATAATAACTGATTAAACCGAGAAAAGATCGTAATTCGGAAACATGAGTGGGAGTGGGCATCAGTTTGATAGCTCGGATGTTTTCAGGATCCGGTCTGCGAGCGTCGGCATCAAAGATGAATCCCAAATACTTTACCGACTGCAATAGAAACTGGCATTTTTCTGTGCGTAACCGGAACCCATTGTCACTGATGCGTCGTAGTACCAATGTCGTGCGTTCCCGTAGCTGTTCTAACGTCTTCGCAACAATCAAGATATCATCGAGATAAGCTGCAACCCCTGAGATATCTGACAGGATAGTATCCATTAGTTGTTGGAAGATAGATGGGGCAGTCTTAACTCCAAAAGGTAGACGGTTATACTGGAACAAACCACGATGAGTGTTGATAGTAAGCAGCTCTTTAGATGCTTCATCGACTTCCACTTGCAAATAAGCATCAGCTAGGTCAAGCTTTGCGAAGAACTTTCCTCCATTCAGCATAGTGAACAGATCTGCTGGGACTGGCAGAGGATAATGATGCTGTTCTAGAGCTGCGTTGAGACCTGTAGAGAAGTCAGCACATATACGTATCGTGCCGTTGGCCTTCTTGATAACGACTATAGGTGCTGCCCAACTGGAGTAAGAAACGGGAGTAATAACTGTAGAATCCTTTTTGAATGTTTTGTTTTTTGGAAAATCCCTCCATGTTTACATATTTTTGCTATGACATGACGGACTTTTTCTGTTGACATTTTTGGTACTTTATTTGATTCCAATTTGAGGCTTTATCATTGTATATTGTTATTCTTTCTATATTTTGTACTTATATTGAAGTTTTTGTGTTTGCTTCTGAACTGTACATATGTTGTTTAAATTTGATATAATATGGCTACCGCCACATTTTTGGACTGATGCAGTGGCCGCTGGACTTAGCGTCACTTATTTGTTACTGTGTCTGATACTCTGCGGAGTAACTGAACCCTGGAAGAAGCACTATTTCCAGGTAATGCTTTGTATTTCCATTTTTTAATTAATACAGACGCTTTCTCCTAGAATTTTGTCCTTTTTGAATTGGTTGGGACCCGGAACTGGGAAAAGCGTACAGGAGTGCCTCTATTGGAACCCATTGGGACGGCCACTGTAGAAGTTCATTTACAGTCTGGAAATATTTCTATCAACGATTATATCCTGGAAATAATTCTATAAACGATTATATTTTGGAATTATCTATTACGATTTCAGTTGGATTATTAGGAATTATCAAGAAACATTTGGAATTTTAATCGTTTATCACACTAGACTTTCTTGGAGGAAGAAATTTGGATTATTTATCATATTCCGGAACTGAACTGTGGAATTACTATATTTTGTATTTGTTACCTTCCTTATTGAACTTTATTTATGATGTCAAGCAGAAAAAAATCACACATGAGGAGGGTGGAAGAGCTCGACGGATCACAGAGCTCTAGGCAAGTCGTTAATGGTGAATTTTTTATGGGTAAAGACGCGCAAAGTCCGAGGTCTTACGCTACCTTGTCATGGTCGGCGTTTTTACGAAGTTTGTTGCCCGTGGATTGTTTTGTAGAAATATCGTCCTGAGACAACTCACTACTTCCAAATCTATCGCGTCTTCAAATGCCAGATTCATTTCTAACGCTGAAAAATTTCGAAAACCAAATTACAAATATTCGCTTCATCGTGAACCTGGAATATCTGAGTTGAATGATATCGAGAGATTTCTCCGTAAACAAAGAATTAAGGGTGCGTTATACAGTGCTGAAGTAAATGCACAAGCTACTGATGGATTTTGGGCTAGAATTGTTAAAGCTGGCGATCCTGATCTTGTTGAGAGATATCTAAATATGACAGCCAGATTGGGACTTCCTATTAACCCGGAAAAAATTCTAAAGGATCTACGAGACGCTGGTCTGACTCCCACTCCCAGAGTGTATGGCTCGTTTATACATCATAGCTGCTCTGCCGGAGATATGAACCGAACAAGCCATTATCTAGGTATGCTTCAGAGTGCTGGGTTCAAGCCTACTCGTTTTATTTTTTCTCAGATTCTGCATGGTTACGTGAAAGCCAGACTCCCCGAAGAAGTTATTTCTACGCAGGAATTATTATCTCAAATAGGTTTATGGCCATCTAAATTTGCATATGAAGGACTTTTGTTTGCTTATGCTGATATTAGTGACGAAGAAAGCTTATTACGAACTTTGGATGAGGCTTATACTGTACTCCCTTCAATAACGGACAACCAAGAAACAGAATATTCTAATGAGATTTCAGCTTCTGTACTCTTGGATATTTACACGAGGTTAATATGTTCGTTGCCAAATACAAATGCAACTTGTAATGAGATATTGAAAAAACTGTCTGCGATGGATAGATTTCCGTTTGATTTTGCCATTGACTCTGTTAAAGTACTCTTAGCAAAAGGCCGCCCAGATGCTGCTTTGGAGATTTTTAAAATAAATTATTCTCATGAACGGAACAATAATCATTTATCTTCACTGCCTACTTATGCTGTTGCTGGTGGTTTGACTCCTAAAGCATTAGAACCTTTCTGGGAAGCAGCTGATTTGGACAGTAAAGAACTGCTTATACTTAGGAATAAATGTAAATTAAAATTCAATCGAACTGGCAAAACCAATGAATTGGGTAATCAATTTCAGTCTTGTTTAAATGAAAACAATATAGAAGGTGGTCTTAATTTATTGAAAAATGTACCAAAAAACAAAACATTCAAAAAGGATTCTACACCGGCCCGCAAAATCCCTCCATGCAAGAGGAGCAAGCCCAGTGGGCAGAGCTAGGAATCAAGTGGGAAGAAGAGGAGAGAGAGCCTAATTTCAATGAATTGACGGATTTTATTATGTCTCGTGCAAAGATAGCTAGTAGTAGGTTTGGAAGATTAGCTTATCGGGCTAAAACAGAACATAATACGGAAGCTACTAGTGGTCTGCGTGCGAGACATGAGGATTTTTCGTTTCTACCTAAAGCACGCTCAGAAGATAAGAGAGTTGTCAATTATATCACGAAAGCATACGCTGATGAAGGACGAGTATGTGACCGTAACGATGTAAAACCTCTTGATGCGTATCCTAGTAAGAAGCCGGTTGGTGTAACAGATAAGATGGCTTTTCTAAGTATGGAAAAGAAAGAAAAAGGTGAAAAGTGTAGGCATCAAGACGGATCCGAAGTGTGTGATGATAAAAGCCTCTTAGCTGCTCGAAAAGCCTGGAACGGTAATTTGGATTCGAGGAATCAGAGGTTAATGAGTTCAGCAAATATGAGTAAGGCCCAGGCAGGATTGTCTGAACGAAATAAAGCCTATGTTCGGAACCCTTCATTTAGGGTAAATTATATAACTGGACCTAGAGTAGATTCTAGGATAAGTGATAGTGGTACTGTAAAGGCTAAGAAGCCTAGGAGACAACATGATGCTACTATTACTAAGAAGCCTAAACCTCATGCTCTTTCGGATGCTACGACTAGCCATGGAAATAGTAGCCATCAGAACCTTAGTAGTGACAGCGATAATAAGGAGAAAGAAAGTGTCAGCAGTCCACTTATTGTGACTAGTTTATCAACTTCATCGAATGAGCCTCCAAGTGTTTCGACGTCATCGGACCTCGTCACGAATGTTAAGTTGATTGAAGATGCACAAGGTTGTGCAACTGTAACTGTTCATATTCCGGTTGACTGTCAGTCGAGTGATGATGAGAAGAAAGTGTTTGATGGTAACAGCCAGTCTACAGTGTTGTGTGATGACGATGCTATTGATGAGCATATGTCTTGTGTCTCTGAAACAGAACATGAAGAACATACAGACCGAATCGACGCTACTTGTCTGGCAGAACGGGATCAATTAGACGTTGATAATAATCTGGATGTCACTGATGTGACAACTGAGTTACCGACGATGACGAATACTGATCAAACCTCCTCTGTATCAGGAGATGGAAGGACAAATATTGATCCCACGTCATGCTACTTAAAGTCTTCTGGAGACGATGAAATGTCAAAATTGGAGATCCCACCCTTGCATATTATATATGGGTCAAGAATTTCTGTTGATAAGTTAGCATCACGGACTTCATTGTATCTGCTGATCGGAGCAAGTGGTGGTGGATCGACGACTCATCCCCATGATAGGGAATGTAGTTCTCGGATAGGATATGACCAGTTTTACGATGTGTTGTTCATGTTCGTGTGGGTTAATTGGGTAAGGTTTATACTACCGTTAGGTCATGCCACGATAGATAGGGGAATCAAGGGCCTGATGGGAAAGTATAGGTACCTAGTTAACACGATAGGTCATATCCATGTTGGATGGCGGGTAGGCGTACTGCTGTAAGTCCTACACGTTATTCCGGTGTGGATTAGGGGATAACTGGGAAACCTAAATAAAGTGTCATTGACGCTTGCTCTTCTTGCATGGAGGGATTTTGCGGGCCAGTGTAGAATCCTTTTTGAATGTTTTGTTTTTTGGAAAATCCCTCGATGTTTACATATTTTTGCTATGACATGACGGACTTTTTCTGTTGACATTTTTGGTACTTTATTTGATTCCAATTTGAGGCTTTATCATTGTATATTGTTATTCTTTCTATATTTTGTACTTATATTGAAGTTTTTGTGTTTGCTTCTGAACTGTACATATGTTGTTTAAATTTGATATAATATGGCTACCGCCACATTTTTGGACTGATGCAGTGGCCGCTGGACTTAGCGCAACTTATTTGTTACTGTGTCTGATGCTCTGCGGAGTAACTGAACCCTGGAAGAAGCACTATTTCCAGGTAATGCTTTGTATTTCCATTTTTTAATTAATAAAGACGCTTTCTCCTAGAATTTTGTCCTTTTTGAATTGGTTGGGACCCGGAACTGGGAAAAGCGTACAGGAGTGCCTCTATTGGAACCCATTGAGACGGCCACTGTAGAAGTTCATTTACAATAACTCCTTGTCTTTGAAGGCGATCCAGCTCTTCATTTACTGTTGCTAATTTAGCATACGGTACAGGTCTCTTTGGACGAAAAGCAGGCTTAGCCCCATGTTTCAACCGAAGTGTTGCTTTCATAGCAGTGCACCGACCTAATCCAGGTTCAAAAATGGTTGAAAACTCTGTCATCAGCTTCTTCGTATACGCTTCTGGGTCATGTCGTTGTGATACCAGGTAGCATATGGTATTTAGCGGGACATCAGCCAATTTTAGCTGGTCGAATCAATCTAAACCAAGTAAATTTAGATCAGCTGGCGTTATATAGCATACCCCAGTAAACGACGAATCTCGGAAAGCAACTTTACATTCCAATTGTCCTAACAGACGAAGATAATTACCACATGCTGTACGAGGCTTTTGCGTTGTGTGCTGCAGACTTGGGCTGCCCAATTTGGTCCAATTTTTGCGTGAGAGGATAGTGACATCAGATGCAGTATCTATTTGCATTCTACACAAATAACCGTTAATATTAAGAGTAATAAATTTCCTCTCACCTGGTGATGAGCTTTGGCAGGAAGATATTAGGCTCAATGCATTGGTACTGGATCTAGGAACAGGCTTCTTAGCACTTCTGGATCGCTTTGGCTTTTTCTGTAGGCAAAAGCCATCTTTATGACCGATGACTTTAAACTTCCTGCATCTATGCTGCCTAAATGGGCAGTTCCGTACATACCGCCATGAGCCGCCGTGCCAGCAAGCAGAAGGTGGATTCATTTTGGATTTTTGGGCAGAATTGGAGCGGGATGAACTGGGTGTAGCATGGGCAGACTTATTATGATAAGGTGGCTGCTGTACCAAGTGAATTTCAGATCGGCATGAACTACCACTCTGCACTATAGTCGAGCCTCGTTGTAGGTTAGTGAGACGTTGGTACTCATGAGCCATATCATTAAGCGTAAGCTTCGGATCTTGCTCCAAACGACTTAGTAGCCTTGTTCTAATGTCACTGAACTTACTCGACTGGAGGCTGCAGATGAGTGGGTTCAAAGGCAGGATCAAATTGCAGTACTTATCCAGCTCACTTGCGTCCAACTTTCGAAGTAGCAGCCGAACCTTCCAAGCATCATCTTGGTTGGCGAAATCAAATTTAAATAAATCTTCATAACGCCGGAACCACATGTCAAAAGTGACATTTGCATCAGGATCATAATGAAATTCAGATATGCTATTTGCGATGCCGTCCAACGATGGAGCTGTGGTTGCATTAGATGAGCTGGGCTGCGTGGAAGGGGAAATCTTCATGTCTGTCAACATCTGCATCAGTTTCAGCTGCTGCTCAAGTAATAACTCAAGTTTGGCAGGATCCATATTTCCAAAAGCACCGTCGCCACTGATAAGTTCGACACTTAGTATGCTTGAGGCTATTACGAATTTACCTTAGTCGATAAACGCGAACGAGACTTTTACCAGCTTCCAGGAAGGCTACCTTGAATACCCAAAATCGAAATAGAAGGCTTTGTAAGCGTAGAAAGTATATTCTACAAACACATAGCAATCCCAGTTCAATCAAGAATACAACTCTCGTTTATTTATACAACATAGGAACGTCCTTGAGACAGTTAAGAAAATAGCATACTAAAATACACTGCAGCCAATCACAGCCATTGATTTTGCTGGTGGGAATTGAAATCTCAAGGTGATCTGATCAGCCCATGCTGGAGAAACTTGAAAACCAAAATACGGCATTATCAATCGAATTTTGGGGATGTAACATCCCCAACAAAAGCTGATCAGAATACAAAGGAAAGGAGAATTTCAGAGGCAACACTCTTCTCTCAATTCAAAGCAACGTCTTTATCAGGATATTGTTAGACAAAATGAACGACTTCGTAGACTCCCGACTTCAAAACCAACAGGCTGCATTTCCTATGGATCGACAGTATGTCCACCAACGTGCGACATAGCGGATCATTGTAGGACAAACAATTGAATGGAATTCACACTCTACATCAACTTCATTGACCACGAGAAAGCATTATATAGCGTGGACAGCATCACTGGTGAGAAAGGTGGATACTCCAAAGAAACTATCAAACAACATCAAAAGCATAATTTTCTGCATAACACCGAAACGTGGAAAACTACCGACGCCATCATCCAGAAGTTACAAGTATTGAGTTACAGACTTCCACGAAAAATTCTTCAAAGCTGTTAAGTGGTGGAAAGTAATAAAAAGTGAAAGATTTGGCACGAATTAGCTAGCCAAGGACTGTGAATTCACTAGTGAAATCTTAGACAATAGTGATTATAACGTGTATGACCTCAAATCTGAGAAGTTTTACTCCAAATAATTATTCACTACAGCGCCTACAAACATCTTAATGCCTTCACCTTCAAACTGATTTTGCTTTGAAATGATCTTATTGAGCACAGAATAACCTTAAAAACAACTACAGAATTGACTAGAAACGTGATTATGTGGTCTGTTTGTGATTGAATGTTGATAATGTAAGAAATGAAATATTTGAAAAATAATTATTGTGTTAATAAAACAACGGCAAATAAACCTCGACATTCAGTTTTAATGAATCTGCTGAAAACGCGCTTGAACGTTTTCAGATTCACTGTTGAAACAAACTTCTTTAGGCTGAACCTGCACGACACAAACATCGTCATTACTCTTGTCGTCAAACAAAAGGTTTCTGGATAGGCTGATAACAAAATGATCAATCTTCCACTACATCACCTTAGCTGAATCTACGGACGATAGTGGACTTGTCACCTACCCGCTGTCTAGATCTTCGAAATGTGTAGACTCCTGTGCACCTCTTAGAACACATCGAACTAGTAGGCCTAAATAGTAACCAGATCGCGTCAATTATCGTAATACGTCAGAATGCCAGCAGACACAGCACGTTAAGTCAATTTGTTCCATGAACATTTTCCATGGTTAACCAGTGAAGAAATGTAGCTTACAAGCCATCATTGGAAAGAACTGCGTCTATTGCAGAAGAACAGCACTTGGAATTGGACTAAAGAGTGTGACACGGCTTTTGGTAAACTCAAGTGGGAATTGTTATTAACACACTACGATCTATCCATGCTCATCTTTGTAGCAGTAGACGCTTCAGCATATGGCCTAGGTGCCGTTATTTCTCATTTCATATAGAGAAAGAGGATCTTGCCCTTCTTACAAGATTTAACGTCAACAAGCTCTACGACATGAGACTTACATGTTCACGATTAAGTAGTTTGTACTTTACTCATACGATTAACATGTTTTTTAAGTGCCGTGGGTGATGTAGGTCCAAACAGATTCGAAGAATTCTTGTGTCCTAATCGCAGATGACTATTCACTTTCGTATCATGTCTTGTTTTTGGGCGATCGCCTCATCGTCCAAATCTACTACTGGCTATCTTTGCACGGTACGATATTAACTCTGTGAGTTCAGAAAATGTGAGCTCTCTATCCTCATCACTCCATCTAACTGCCAGCTCTGCCCACTGGACTTGCATGCGGCGAGGTAAGAGCTTAACTATTCGTTCCAAAGTTGCTAAGGAATTCATATCCTTGGTGCGATTCGTTTGCTACAACACCATGGCGCATTGATTCATTTTGATACTTAGGTTTGATAGCTGCTCGGCGTCATTATAATCAACGATCTCAAGATGAAACAGCTCTTCCAACTTTTCCCTGGCTATAATGCGAGACTGTCCGAATAAACGATTTAGGATTTCCTTAGCCTTTTTATATCTCATAGACGCTTCTAAGATCAATCAACTTTTCAAGGCTGTACTAGCCTTACCCTGGCGGTAGTGAATCAAATAGAGTAAACGCAAGCTATCTNNCAAATATCAGTTTAAAGATTAAACCTTAAGGTGTTATTTCGTAACATCGATAAAATTTCTAAAGTCAAAAAAATTTGATGTTCCACATTCTTTATTTCATAACTTTACTACGTCAAAATAAACTCATAGTTTTCTATGTCATCCTGTTTAGCCTGTCTACTTCTCAGCCTTATATTACAGTGCAAATAATAATTATAGCTAAAAATGAGTTGAATGAAACTGTATTAATAGTGTGAGATTTGTTGGTGAGCAAATGGACGATCACAATCAGTTAAAAAAACTAACTATAAACTTCTGTAAGCAGCCAACTATCCTTTGCTAAGGACTTAAGTTTATAAAGACAAGAACGGCCTTAAATATTTTAAATTTCAAGTTCTCAAGCCTCCATGGTAATTCCTCATTCTGATTATTACCATAAGTGACCTGATTACCATTGTCAAAATTTAAAAATAGGGCTTTGAACCTGTATCACCCCTATTGTTATTATCTTAAAAAAAAACACGATGTTAGAGCTAAAATATTAGAAAACTTCAATATATGACTCAGCAAGTGGTTACAGCTCTTTAACGAATTGCTTTCTTAAGGGTAGGCCAATCAAAGTTTCTTCGTTAAGATAACCGGAATTGAGATTTTAGTGGCGCGTCGAGTCGTGATTGACTGTGATCATCACTAAATACTAATTACGAGCCAGTCACAGAGAAGACAAAATGATCAATACAAGTGAACATATTTGCTGGCGATTTCGTGGTTTCGAAAGAATAACGAAATCGCATCAGAAAGGAGGGACAAAATTACAGAGACAATGGGGCCAAAATGGCAGCAACAAAAAAAACAGAAAGTTTACAAGTATAAAGAGTAATAGACAAAAAGTACAGTAAAACAATCACTCGTACAATTGGTTATAATAACGAATGATTCTATTAAACCTATTGTGTTCTCTTCATAAAAGTAGATTCACTACAAGCTTTACACCTTCTAGATTTTTTAAAAATGACTCCACTTACTACTGATAATAATCTAGTCGTTTAATAAATAAGGTAACACATGTTTAAATTTTAGGAACTATCGAAGAACAAATGATGCCTTCTCTTGAGTGATGATGAAAACGTTTTACTTATTTAAATTAGGTAATAGCAGCCAATAAATGAAAATCTAGGGCATGAACAATAAATGAACTATATTAAACATGCAATTCTAGTTCCTCAGGTGTGAAAGACCCAGATAAACTTTCTGCTACTTAAATAATGACAGTATCGAGCAAGACGATCGTTTCAAATGAATTTCAGTAGGTTTTTCATCTTACTTAAACTAATCTATCAACTGATCAGTCAGTCAGTCAGTTGCAACGTAGAACTTCGTACGTAAGTACATCAGTTCATGTCGCCATACCACATCAGCACAGAGATATAATTGTCAATTCAAATCCAATAGTAGAAGAAGTATTAAAGGTATTAGAAGTAATCGGAGAGGTTAGAATTAGAAGATATTATTCACGAAGTATGATTCAATGAGATAAGTTTAGAAAGTAAAAACTAGAGGTGTTGAAGAATCCAGAAGGTTAGGATTTGAGAGAACACAAAGAATAAATGCACTGGCGCCATTGCGAACGATTTTGAGCCATGTCATTCAAGGTCTCTAGCCATCGATTATTATCATCTCGCGGCCCCCAACCAGGTAGTCGACAATTATCGACATGGCTAAGTCCACTCGTCAATGACTTCATGGATTTATGCCATGTTTTGGTCTGGCCGCCCCTAGCTTTCTTCCAACCTATTCCTACACTATCAACCGATCACTCGATATTAAATAGATGAAGTGTGGCAAGCAGTGTAGTCCTGGATGTACGTCTTGTCCTATTTGCGACTGATCAGCTTACTTACAATCATCATGGAACACTCATATTTCAACGAATACTGAAAAACTTTTAGACGAAAATATCAACAGCGGGATGTTTCAAACCATGTCTAGTTGAACTAAAAACACAATTTGTATAGAAATGAGCTTGAAATTGAAAAAAATCTCAGGAAATATCAAAAAAATTCTCATTTTACGCTGATTACTGAAAATTTCAGATAGACAGTTGCATTAATTAAAAACGTAGTAGTTATGATTTTATGGTAGTCAAACGACTTAAGATAATGCCTATAGATGTCTTGTTCAACTTTGATGATCACTAAGTGGTCAACGGACAGTCAAAGCATATGGTTATGGATTATTACTCTCAGATGTTATAATTAGCTTCCGGATCACCATAAATAAGGTTTAATTTGCTCAGTAAACAATGAGTTCAAGGCAATAGACTGATATATTAGATCGGATGCATTACAGAAAACACTGACCTGTGAATGACCGATGTAGCTCAGTTTGTCAGCAGCTGTATGATTCAAAACATACAATAGTGATGCTGGAAGATCGTATTTGCCCATTTCATCCCAGGAAAACTCCCAAAACGCTTTGTCATTGGGCTTTAAGGAAAGGTGTTTTGATGAATAAGTGCTCCCACGGCTATTACCAAGCCACACATCATAGCAATTATCAGCAAGTATAAATCCCAAACTTTCGTTCGGCAAATTGTTAACCCAAGTGTGAGCAGAGTCAAGAAGACCATGCTGGAGGAACACAACTTTTGGTATCCCTAGATGGACAGATAATGTAAGTTTGTCAAAAACTGTACGAACCTGAAGCTTCGTGACATTTCGGCAAAATCCTTACAATACATAAAATAAAGCCATCCTTGGTAGTGACATAGTGCTCTTCAGATTTGTATCCTTTCGAAGATATTATTTCCGTCTAAAATTTTCATTTAACATAATAAAATAATCAAACAAATTTAGTATACTATGTTCTGGTATACTTCCGGATCAAATCCATTTTCGAATGGTTCTAGTACTTTTTTAACTGAAGAAATAGTGTTTATTCTTGCTTCATCAACAAATACGGTGACAATAATAAACCACAGGAACCAATAGAGTAAAACGTTTCTTTTCATTTGCCACCCGAAACTGCAAATAATGAAATGGGTCAGAAAAACAAATGTTTTGCTGCACAGAATTCATTGCATCACTCAACTACATTTTTGAAAATAAATATTGTTTGTCCGTATTACATATACTTACTTGTATAGAGTAAAATTAAGGTTCTTGTCAAAATTTCTAGCTGAACATGTGCACCTGGTCATCAAATAAAACGACAGGATTAAGTACAATAGAAAACTATTGAAGTCATTTCTAATAAAAGTATACTAAGGAACATAATAAACGTCAGAAGAAATGAAACTAGTGAGGCTAAAATGCTTTTGCAGGTAGTTTTCCAGATCGGATGCATGAAGTCTTACCAGCAGTAGCTGCCAAAGTAGTTCCAATGTCCAATGTCTTGGCTCTTTTTGAGGTGTTTTTAAGCCAGGACGGTTTGTGTATTCCTTAATTAGACCATCTTCTAATCTATTAGACAAACCGCTACACACCATTGATATTAGCAAACATAAACTTTTTCGAAAGATCTATTTGTGTAAGAGTTGAGTAAACGAAGTAGTAGATCCGATTAGAAGCTCTTTTATATCTAATTCAAAGGCCGAAACCTGAATATATCCTCGGGAAAGTTATAATCTAACAAGATCAATATTCATTCGGCAAAACATAAATGTTTCGTTTTTTTGTATAAGGTAGGAAACGTTTCTGATATATCTATAACCAACGGTTATAGCAAGACACAATGTACACTCAACAGTACTGGACAATGTCGAGTATCGACTCTTCAGTTCAATATTTCTCTGACTCAAAATAGGTACTGAGAAGCAATTCGAATATTCCCCACTAAATGAGGTTGGAATTATGTGTGTAAGAATAAAACCAAGTAGCAAGCATTTGCGTCATAAAACTGACAGACACTGCTTAGAGACAGCTTTTCATCATTACGTTCAGTTAAGTCATGCAGGCCCACGTCATCAACTTCCTGGTATCATATGATAAGTGAAAAAATTGATGAGGTCGATTTTTGACCGAAGTCAAATAATAGCTCCACGTACCCACTTTTGAAGCCGAGGACTTTAAATGCCATTATTTATTAGCTAAGCGGTTCATATACCACTACAGTTTCAAATGCCCGTTGTTGATAGCTCAATGAACTGTCGATCTGAGACAATCTCTGAATAACAATAGTGTGTTAGATGTGAGAGCTATGTTGCCATGTTAATTCGATTTCACAGATAAAGTAAGTCCATCATTTAAGATTCTTCCTATTTTTACAAATTAGGTTAGGGACATTTCATGAATCGGTTAGCACCTTATAACCTGATTTGAAGACATCGAAAAGTAGATAATAGTTATTTTATAACTAATTGTAGTTATGCCATAAATAACCAATCAGATCGGTTAAGCGCTCACCACGTTATCTAGTCTGACCGGTCTGTAAACTTTCTTTGTTGTTGTAGGTGAATTCTCCATCGTGACAGCTCAATTCGATTCCAATAGACGTAGGTTGGACGCACTTCCCAATTTCGAAGTTAAAACACAATAATTCTAGAGGGAAATGGTCTATTTACAAATTACAAATGGAAATACAAATAATACCTAACTAATGTTACGTCTTCCAATTCAGAATTACTCCAAACGAGTATCAATGTTCCGAGGTTTAGGTGAACTCCTGTACTGCCCGATGATGAATCCAAAAATGTGGCGGTAGCCATATTATATCAAATTTAAACAACATATGTACAGTTCAGAAGCAAACACAAAAACTTCAATATAAGTACAAAATATAGAAATAATAACAATATACAATGATAAAATCTCAAATTGGAATCAAATAAAATACCAAAAATGTCAACAGAAAAAGTCCGTCATGTCATAGCAAAAATATGTAAACATGGAGGGATTTTCCAAAAAACAAAACATTCAAAAAGGATTCTACACCGGCCCGCAAAATCCCTCCATGCAAAAAGAGCAAGCGTTAATGACACTTTATTTAGGGTTCCCAGTTATCCCCTAATCCACACCGGAATAACGTGTAGGACTTACAGCAGTACGCCTACCCGCCATCCAACATGGATATGACCTATCGTGTTAACTAGGTACCTATACTTTCCCATCAGGCCCTTGATTCCCCTATCTATCGTGGCATGACCTAACGGTAGTATAAACCTTACCCAATTAACCCACACGAACATGTACAACACGTCGTAGAACTGGTCATATCCTATCCAAAGACTACATTCTCTATCATGGGGACGAGTCGCCAATCCACCACCACTTGCTCCGATCAGCAGACACAATGAAGTCCGTGATGCTAACTTATCAACAGAAATTCTTGACCCGTAGATAATATGCAAGGGTGGGATCTCCAATTTTGACATTTCATCGTCTCCAGAAGACTTTAAGTAGCATGACGTGGGATCAATATTTATCTTTCCATCTCCTGATACAGAGGAGGTTTGATCAGTATTCGTCATCGTCGGTAACTCATTTGTCACATCAGTGACATCCAGTTTATTATCAACGTCATCATGATTCCGTTCTGTCAGACAAGTCGCGTCGATTCGGTGTGCATTAGCATCCGTTTCAGAGACACAAGACATATGCTCATCAATAGCATCGTCATCACACAACACTGTAGACTGGCTGTTACCATCAAACACTTTCTTCTCATCATCACTCGACTGACAGTCAACCGGAATAGGAACAGTTACAGTTGCACAACCTTGTGCATCTTCAATCAACTTAACATTCGTGACGAGGTCCGATGACGTCGAAACACTAGGAGGCTCATTCGATGAAGTTGATAGACTAGTCACTATAAGTGGACTGCTGACACTTTCTATCTCCTTATTATCACTGTCACTACTAAGGTTCTGATGGCTACTATTTCCATGGCTAGTCGTAGCATCCGAAAGAGCATGAGGTTTAGGCTTCTTAATAATAGTAGCATCATGTTGTCTCCTAGGCTTCTTAGCCTTTACAGTACCACCATCACTTATCCTAGAATCTACTCTAGGTCCAGTTATATAATTTACCCTAACTGAAGGGTTCCGAAAATAAGCTTTATTCCGTTCAGACAATCCTGCCTGGGCCTTCTTCATATTTACTGAACTCATTAACCTCTGATTACTCGAATCCAAATAACCGTTCCAGGCTTTTCGAGCAGCTAAGAGGCTTTTATCATCACACACTTCGGATCCATCTTGATGCCTACACTTTTCACCTTTTTCTTTCTTTTCCATACTTAGAAAAGCCATCTTATCTGTTACACCAACCGGCTTCTTGCTAGGACACGCATCAAGAGGTTTTACATCGTTACGGTCACATACTCGTCCTTCATCAGCGTATGCTTTCGTGATATAATTGACAACTCTCTTATCTTCCGAGCGTGCTTTAGGTAGAAACGAAAAATCCTCATGTCTCGCACGCAGACCACTAGTAGCTTCCGTATTATGTTCTGTTTTAGCCCGATAAGCTAATCTTCCAAACCTACTACTAGCTATCTTAGCACGAGACATAATAAATTCCGTCAATTCGTTAAAATTAGGCTCTCTCTCCTCTTCGTCCCACTTGATTACTAGCTCTGCCCACTGGGCTTGCATTCGACGAGGTAAGAGCCTGACTATTCGTTCTAAAGTAACCATGGAATTAAGTTCCGTTGTGCAATTTAGCTGTTCTAAAGTTAAAGCAGCATTCTGCATTTTAATAGCCAAGTTCGTCAATAATTCAGGATCATTAAAATCTACATTCCCAGTTCTAAATAAATCCTCTAAGGTTTCTCGGGCTATTACATGCGACTGTCCAAAGAGCTGTTTTAAAATGGCCTTAGCTCTCTTATATCCTGCTTGTGGATCCATAATAATACAGCCTTCAATCGCATTTTTTGCTTTTCCCTTACAATAATGAATTAAATACAATAAACGAACTTGGTCGTCTTTTATTCTGGGTTCTATAAACGTTTCGAATTGACGCATGAACCTAAAATAGTCGCGAGACTTTCCATCAAAATATGAAAGTTCGACCTTAGGTAGTTCTAAACCCTCTATCGATGTCTTACGTATCTGATCGGTCTCTGGTACCTTAGAACTCTCACTTAGTCCTGGTTCCTTAATGCCTGCCAAAGGTGACTTACAATAATAAGTATCAGACATAACATGTGGGTTACCCATAAAAAATTCATCATTAACGACTTGCCTAGAGCTCTGTGATCCGTCGAGCTCTTCCACCCTCCTCATGTGTGATTTTTTTCTGCTTGACATCATAAATGAAGTTCAATAAGGAAGGTAACAAATACAAAATATAGTAATTCCACAGTTCAGTTCCGGAATATGATAAATAATCCAAATTTCTTCCTCCAAGAAAGTCTAGTGTGATAAACGATTAAAATTCCAAATGTTTCTTTATAATTCTTAATAATCCAACTGTAATTGTTCGATTTATCAAAAGGTAATAGATAATTCCAAAATATACACGTTCCTAGGAATATTTCCAGGATATAATCGTTTATAGAAGTATTTCCAGAATATAATCGTTTATAGAATTATTTCCAGACTGTAAATGAACGGAATTCCAACATTAGTTAGACTGTAGTTGAATTCTTCATCGTGACAGCTCAATTCGATTCCAATAGACGTAGGTTGGACGCACTTCCCAATTTCGAAGTTAAAACACAATAATTCTAGAGGGAAATGGTCTATTTACAAATTACAAATGGAAATACAAATAATACCTAACTAATGTTACGTCTTCCAATTCAGAATTACTCCAAACGAGTATCAATGTTCCGAGGTTTAGGTGAACTCCTGTACTGCCCGATGATGAATCCAAAAATGTGGCGGTAGCCATATTATATCAAATTTAAACAACATATGTACAGTTCAGAAGCAAACACAAAAACTTCAATATAAGTACAAAATATAGAAATAATAACAATATACAATGATAAAATCTCAAATTGGAATCAAATAAAATACCAAAAATGTCAACAGAAAAAGTCCGTCATAATAATAATAATAAT